ATACGAGGCATTTATGGCCAATTTCGGCCATACGAGGCATTTCGGCATTTTAATGTTTAATAATAGGTGTCATTTTTAACGTATTGGTCGAGTATGAATAAAAATGCGACGTATTAGATGAGAGATCGAGTTGAAGTGTCACAGGTTTGCATTTGAGGTGGAACTTGCCTATTCACTTTCTTGATTTTGGTACCTCCTTCTGTCTACTGAGGTGTTGTCTGCTCAGCTCCTTTGCAATATCTTAAAGATCCACGTGGAAACTGTATTGGGTTTAGATGCTTTTGTTTCGCCGGGTCTTTATAATGTCATTTTCACTTCGTCTGCTGCCGTAACTGCGTTGCTAACCTTGCCCAGACGTGTTATACAAACTCTCTTACAATTAATGGCGGCTCCGGTTGAGTTTTCAACTTTGTTGTGACATTTCAATGGAATATATATCAGTCACACACACACACTTCATTCTCGTTTTCTTTGTCACTAGGTTCTTGACCGATGTTTTACTTCTAAATGGTTGGCAACATTGTTTTTACCCTCAGCGTATGTCATTTGCGTTGTTTGTCTGACTGTCGTTTCTCACTCTTTTGTGACGGTCGTTTTCATCCTGTGTTCTACAGTTCCTGCATATTTTACATGCACTTTTTTTGCACCGAGTCGCTCCGTGTTGAACCACGAGGTTGACCTTTTAGTTCCTGCCTTTTAACCTTTGTTCCCGAGTGACGAACTCTATTATTTCCTGCGTTGGTTTCCGTTGTAAGTCACTTTGCCAGTTCATTTGACTTCAACAGTCTTATTGTGTCATAATTCCTTCTTGCATACTAGCCTTATTCATCCAATGTCCTTTATCTTTATTTTGATGATCATTACTAGCCTAGGCAGTCAAAGATTAGGGCACTGGTCTCTATCCCATAGTGTGTCTGTGTGTGTGTGTGTGTGTGTGTGTGTGTGTGTGTGTGTGTGTGTGTGTGTGTGTGTGTGTGTGTGTGTGTGTGTGTGTGTGTGTGTGTGTGTTCCTCCTAACCCTCCTATTTCTCATCGTATCTGCTTTTAGAACTGTTTGGCTTCTAGCTCTCTGTCTAAGAGTCTAATTTATTCCACTTGCTCATTATTCTTACTATAAAGAGTTAACGCTCCCTGTGAGCCCTCTACACTTCTATTTCCGTCCTTGCTTCGTTGTTTTGCCATTACTCTGATTTAACATTTATTCCTTGTTAATGTTGTCTGTCCCCTCCGAGAATGGCATATTATCCTCCTGTTGCCTCTGTTGTCTCGCCTTGTGTGACGAGGTTCAGCTCCCTCGACCTCTTAAAGATTAAACCTCTCATCTACGACGACGTAAGTCTTATTGTATTCTACGAGGCTTTTTCTAGTTTGACTGTGTGTGTGTTGTTTTGTTTGGGGTGGGGGGAGGTTTCCACTCTTGTGATTACATGCTAGAATGGGTTTCATATGTTGTTTATAGCATTCTGAAACTTCATTCTCTAGGTTTCACAGAGCTGTGGATCTTGTATGATGTATACAACGCCCCGGAGGCTGTCCTACCTAGGTTTCCGAGAGCTTGTTTGATGTTTGTCATCTTCGCCTACGCTGCTTATGGTATCTTGTTTACATGTGCCTCTGGAGTCAGGCTGGGGGGTTATGTCAACTCCCGGATCCTTGTTCTGTTGCATGGCGCCGTCTTCATGTCATCCAGTGGTGTTCAGGGGACCCCTTCTGATTCCCTTCCTAATTATGAATACACACGTGTGTGTGTGTGTACTTGCCTAGTTACTTGCTTAGTTGTGCTTGCGGGGGTTGAGCTCTGGCTCTTTGGTCCCGCCTCTCAACTGTCAGTCAACTAATGTACAGGTTCCTGAGCCTACTGGACTCAATCATATCTACACTTAAAGCTGTGTATATACTACACTTATCTACACTTAAAGCCTCCACCACATCACTTCCTAGTGCATTCCACACACACACACACACACACACATTCCATGTGTGTGTGTGTCTGTGTGCGTGTTTGTATATTAGTTTTTACGGCAAAAAAGTTGTCTATCTCTTCTCTCACTAGACACAAGTCTGCTCATAACCTTTCTCTTTAAGGTTTAGTTTTATTAGTTTAACGTGACAAGTTAAGCGAAGTGAACGTGAGACGATTGTCACCAGTCTTGGAAATGGAAGCATCAGCCCTACACAAGGGAAGGAGCAAAACATTGGCTAAGAACTATAGACAGTTGCACTAACGTCCCCAATTTTATGGAGACCAACAATCTCCACAACCCAGGCCAACATGGATTCAAGGGTGAGAAGATCATGCCTTTCACAGCTACTTGACCAATATGACAAAATCACGGGAGCATTAGAAGAAAAACAGAGTATAGATGCCGTATACATGGACTTTGCAAAGGCATTTAAAAAATACCTTTGCATTTATCAAATGCAAAGGTTTCCATTTTCAGAGCAGGGGATATTGCTGAAATAGAGGGAGTACAGAGAACGTATACAGCACGCATAAACACGATAAAGTACCTAAACTATTGGGATAGTCACGAAGCTCTCAAAATGTACTCTAGAAAGGAGACGAGAGGTATGAAATACATGGAAAGTACTGGAGGCCCAGGTCCCTAATGTACATAATAACAGCATACTAGAGTGAACAATATGGAAGGAAATGCAGGATAGAAGAGTAGACGTGCACTAGGCACAATAAAAAACACTGAACATCACAGGTCTCCGGTTGTTCAATATCCTCCCAGCAAGTATAAGAAATATTGCGAGAAAAAAGTGGAAGTCTTAAAAAAGGAGAGAAAAAGAAATGCAAGAAATGACACCAAGCAAACTAGTGGATATGTGGGCCTGCGGGCCGCTCCAAGCAATAGCCTGTTGGACCAAGTTCTCACAAGCCAAGCTTGGCCACAGCCGGGCTTGGTGAGTTGAAGAAATCCATAGAACATCATCCAATTACAATCCAGGTACATAACATGTATTATACCAGGACGTTAATTCTGCTGGTATTAAACTGGGGGTATCCATACCCCATGGTGGTATGTTAACCATATAAGGGGGGGGGAAGGAGGCATGGGACTCGATCTCTTAACAATTAACAAAATAATTACACTAGGAAATCACAATAGTGTGATGAATCTTTGCGAAAATCATCGGCGCAGGACGAGGATGGAGGGAGCCGGTCGGCCGAACGGACAGCACACTGGACTTGTGATCCTGTGGTCCCGGGTTCGATCCCGGGCGCCGGCGAGAAACAATGGGCAGAGTTTCTTTCACCCTATGCCCCCTGTTACCTAGCAGTAAAATAGGTACCTGGGTGTTAGTCAGCTGTCACGGGCTGCTTCCTGGGGGTGGAGGCCTGGTCGAGGACCAGGCCGTGGGGACACTAAAGCCCCAAAATCATCTCAAGATAACCTCAAGATAGCGTCCTGGGTTGCCCCAGACACGCTCCTTAACGTATTAGAATGTGCTCGTGGTCGCTGGTTCGATCCTCCTCTTCCTGCTCCAATTATTTTCACAAAAATAAATTTGTTGTTAGATTAGAAATAACTATGACCGTCTGTTCCCCAATTTCATGTTTTGATTTAACAAAAAAAAAAAAAAATCTCCTAGTTATGCATATGTAAGGTAAAACCAAGGTATTGCTATCTTTGGAAGTCATACTGGTACCCAGTAGGTACTGGTGATGGTAGTTCCGACAGTCTGGTGAAGGAGGAATGGGGATATATTGGGTAATCCACTGGGATCTGGAATGGTGATAAGGTTATCACCATTCTTATCACCTTATCGTTATCACCTTATCACCTTAAGGTTATCACCTTATCACCATAAGGTTATGCGGTTACCCTTGGCAGTAACCAATTCATTTCCACCTGACAATTTAGGGCCCGATTTAATTTTCCCCATTATTAATTGGGTTAATAATTATATATTTTTATCATATAATCATTCATTGTAACGAGAGACAGGCAGCCAGTGTATATATTTACATATTAAACTTATACCCCCGCCGAACAGAGGCATTAGTTGATAGGAAACGCGTCCAGCCATTTCTGTCCCGCCCAGAATTTCTGACTGTGATTCGGAAACGAACCCGACTGTAGTGTTTAATGTGTGTCTTTGGTATATTGGCATATCTATCATAGTACATCTATGATTGAAATTGAAATAAGTTTATTGATGTAAAATACACACAAAGGGATGAGGTAGCTCAAGCTATTCTCACCCCGTTTAGTACATCGTGTTAATACATACATATACACACATCACAAACAATAAACATATTACCAAACATTCTGAGAGATAAACATCTACATTTCCTCCTTTACACAAGTAGTATGATATCAGACGTACACACAAATACTTTTATGACCTAGGTATACTACATCTATGATAGTCTTCCCTTTATTGTAGTTTATATTTCTATATGTATTTTTTGTATTTGCATCGCATTCATTTTTCTCATACGTCATGACCCCGTAAAGCAATATTTTTAATTCGAAGCAGTCAGATTATAATGTTGAATTATTCAAAATAATTCCTTACCGTACAGGCGTATTTTCTATCGCCAGGGATCACAATGTTTTGATGTTATGAAGAATTCAGACTGTTATTTTATTTTTTGTTTTTTGAGTCGGAGCTTGAATAATTTATTGCTCGCTCGATGTAGTTTGTATAACTGAAATTTGTTGCGAGAGATTTTGAAATACATGGAGGTTTCTCCAACCAGATTTTGAAATATATGGCATTTCTCAAACCAGATTTTTGAAATACAGGGTATATTTTGTCAAAGCAGATTTTGAATTGCATAATTTATGGCATCATAGGCAGATAATATTTATAAACGTACGGGTCTGTTGGTGTGTATGTGCTGTACACACACACACACACACACACACACACACACACACACACACACACACACACACACACACACACACACACACATATATATATATACATATGCTGAATTGTATTAGTGTTTTTAACAGGTAATATATCTTATTTTTCAGACTAGGTAAGCGGCCGGGTGTTTGTGGATATTAAGAGCCAACGTGTGAGTACTCGCTTACTATATTTGTCTGAGAGTACTTCATCACCAGTGTGCTGCCTCACCATTGCTCCCCATCACATGCTGGTACCCTTACTCCTCCACATCACCACCTGTCAACCCCTATATTAGTGCTCAGAACTGTAGTCGTCGGCTGGCACATGTCCGGAGAGTTCTTGACTATCGTTCTGGCCCAGGCGTCATGCAGCATTTACACAACCACTTACGAAACCTCTACATCTTTCTCAATCATGGCGGCTTTGTTTATTGAAGAGTTTGAGCTGCGAGGCACTACGAGGTTCGTAAGTGGGCGCGTAAATGATTTATGAGTCGTGGTCGTTGTTAACTGGCGTATCTTGGCATGTTAAGTAGTGCTCAAGTCACAGACTTTATAATTTTCTTAACTTGGTACACCACCTGTCCCTCTGTGACAAAATGTATTACTGTATCTCTGTTTTTACTGTATTTACTTCTATTTCTTTCTGTATGTTTATATTTACTGTATTTCCGTATTTACTTATATTACTGTATTTTATTACTGTATTTCCTTATGATTTCCCAACTTTTACTCTCTTTATGTGATTTATCTCTGGTTGTGTTAAACATCGAGTACTGATACTCGAGTCAGGACAGAGCGCCTGCTTGTTAAGTGTCGTTGTCTGCGGTTACCTGCTGTGTTTGCTACCTTGTTAGTAACTTGTTTACTCTGTGTAAACAGTTGTAATGTTGTTGTTTGTGAGCTGTTTACCTCATTGGAGTACTTGTTTGCCCTCCTGTCTACCTGTGAGCACCTGCTTGCCCTCCTGTCTACTTGTGAGCACCTGCTTGCCCTCCTGTCTACCTGTGAGCACCTGCTTGCCCTCCTGTCTACCTGTGAGCACCTGCTTGCCCTCCTGTCTACCTGTGAGCACCTGCTTGCCCTCCTGTCTACCTGTGAGCACCTGCTTGCCCTCCTGTTTACCTGTGAGCACCTGCTTGCCCTCCTGTCTACCTGTGAGCACCTGCTTGCCCTCCTGTCGTCCTGTGAGCACCTGTAATTTTGCTTGTCTGTAAAATTAGACAGGATGTTACCAGATGCTCGGGTGCAGACTCTTATGTCTTCCATTGTGTTACTGTCGGGGACAGAAAGCCTGTATTTAGGGTCGTATCGAGATTTCCCTAGGTCGAACTAATGGTCCTCTCTAGGATAGGATGCAACCCACAACAGCTACCTAACTCCCGGCGAAAGGATACGGCTCTAACTATTTTTGTACTGTCTGGGAATCAAACCTCGTATCCCCCGATTGTGAGCCGAAAACGTAGACCTCTGTAGCACAAAGGTCTACGTTTTCGGCTCTGTGGACTCTTAATATCTCGCCCATAGCTTATTTGTTTTCGTTTCCATTTGTGTAGAATCCGTACTTAACACGAATATCCGGTCTCGCGAATAAGAATATCCGGTATTGTTATAATGAGTTTGGGAATGTCTGGAGGAGTTTATTTGGGAACAATTGACCAGGAACGATGCAGAGAGTGCTTGGGTGCCACTTCGTCGATTGCACTGCAGCAAGACCAACATGGCGGCGTGATTTGGCCAATCAAGGGGAAAGTTCGCCACCAACTAATGGCCTGTTTCCCTGCCGACGGAGGCAGTGAGGTCCTGCACGTCGATGACGCAGCCGAGCATCAAGCCGGGGAACAAGTTTATGGAGGGAATAGAAACTCAGGACGAGTAATTCAGTTGGATTTGTGCGATAAATGTTCCTGTGAGCATTGTAGTGGAGTGCATCTGACAAGAGTTGTTGCAAACGAAGGCAGATACAGTAAAGAGAGAGGGTTCAAGAGTAATACTCACACAATATCACGTGACTATAAGGTTCCAAGATGGACTGAAATGTCGTTAGTCTCATGTCCTCTCGTACTCACCTAATTGTACTCACCTAATTGTGCTTGCGGGGGTTGAGCTCTGGCTCTTTGGTCCCGCCTCTCAACCGTCAATCAACTGGTGTACAGATTCCTGAGCCTATTGGGCTCTATCATATCTACATTTGAAACTGTGAATGGAGTCAGCCTCCACCACATCACTTCCTAATGCATTCCATTTGCTAACTACTCTGACACTGAAAAAGTTCTTTCTAACGTCTCTGTGGCTCATTTGGGTACTCAGCTTCCACCTGTGTCCCCTTGTTCGCGTCCCACCAGTGTTGAAAAGTTCGTCCTTGTTTACCCGGTCGATTCCCCTGAGGATTTTGTAGGTTGTGATCATGTCCCCCCTTACTCTTCTGTCTTCCAGTGTCGTGAGGTGCATTTCCCGCAGCCTTTCCTCATAACTCATGCCTCTTAGTTCTGGGACTAGTCTAGTAGCATACCTTTGGACTTTTTCCAGCTTCGTCTTGTGCTTGACAAGGTACGGGCTCCATGCTGGGGCCGCATACTCCAGGATTGGTCGTGTGTGTGTATGTGTGCGTGTGTGTGTGTGTGTGTATGTGTATGTGTATGTGTGCGTGTGCGTGTGTGTGTGTGTGTGCGTGTGCGTGTGCGTGTGCGTGTGCGTGTGCGTGTGTGTGTGTGTGTGTGTGTGTGTGTGTGTGTGTGTGTGTGTGTGTGTGGGGGGTGCTAGGTGGCTCATAATAAAAGTGTATGCAATAAGTGGAGTATAAATTATTCGGATACGCAATACGTTGCTGTTTTTTTTTTAAGTGTGATATGTGGCCCGTTAGCCCGCACCTGTTGGGTTGTAACGTGTGGTTGGTCAAACGACGTAGTGTGTTCCCCCTCTTACTGTTACTTGTAATTAGCATCCATGTTCTCTAGTTGTTTCACATCTGAGAACCTGTAATCTTGTCTGCATTCCTATTACATGAGAACCTGCAATCTTTCTTACCTGTCTATCCACTGACAACCAGCCGTCTTTCATGTCTATCCACTGAAAATTAGCAGTCTTTCTTACCTGCCTATCCACTGACAACCCGCCGTCTTTCCTACCTGTCTATCCACTGACAACTAGCCGTCTTTTTTACCTGTCTACCCACTGACAAACAGCCGTCTTTCATGTCTATCCACTGACAACCTGCCGTCTTTCTTACCTGTCTATCCACCGACAAACTGCCGTCTTTCTTACCTGTCTATCCACTGACAACCCGCCGTCTTTCTTACCTGTCTATCCACTGACAACCTGCCGTATTTCTTACCTGTCTATCCACTGACAACCCGCCGTCTTTCTTACCTGTCTATCCACTGACAACCAGCCGTCTTTCTTACCTGTCTATCCACTGACAACCTGCCGTCTTTCCTAACTACCCGCATGTGACTGGCCGTGTACCTGTGTGCTCACCACACACCTGCCTGCAGGTGTGCACGAGTGCTTGTGAGGCGCCTTTGTGTTGGCGGGAATGTTTACTAGTCTGTGACGCCCCATCCACCTCCTCCTTTTTATATTTAACCCACTACATACGTTTTCCTTGAGTCATGCACGTGACAAAAATAGGATAATGACTCCTGTTCTTACCAGAAAGGAACAATATTTTATTAGGAATGTCCTGACTTAATAAAAGTATGGAATAGTTAACCCTTCATGGGGAGTTAAACGGTTGGGTAAAATGAACCGTTTTTCGCCGGTTAAAATTTGAATTTGATTGTTACAACTGCCGGCCGTCCGTTATGCGATTCGACCCCATGACTGTATGTGCACTAACCTATTGGTGCCTGCTGGTCCGGTCTTCGGCTCGTGGAGCGCACCTTTCCACCGACTATTGTAATTATTTGCGTGAGAGTAATACATAATAGCTCCATAAATTGATCGGTTATTAAACAAATCGGCGATTACATAAATTGGCTAGATAATTAACTATCTAATGCAAATTGGCCATAACATAAATTGACTGTAATTCTGACCGTGAATGTATACATCTGTTTGTAAATATTCAGCAGTTCCGCCGGGAATCGAAATTCAGAATTATCCGTTGGGCGTTCTTATTCATGGCCCCCGGTGGAGTGGTCGTTCACAGTGACGATAACCCCCCCCCCACTCCCCCCCAGTGAAGTGGGGGCAGTGTGATAGCTTTTCACTTTTTATTTTCTGTTTTGCGATCGTGCTGCTTCCGGTTGCTAACAACCATTATGAAATTTCCTTCGACGCCCTTCCGTTTTCTGTTGACTGGGCCTCCTTTGTGTCCCTGCGTTTTCTGTTACCAGATTATTCCAAGTGTCCTTTTTTAATTTTGTTGGGTTCTCCCAGATGTGCTTTTATTGTCAGGTAGGTTATCCTTGGTGTGTGTGTGTGTGTGTGTGTGTGTGTGTGTGTGTGTGTACTTACCTAGTTGTGCTTGCGGGGGTTGAGCTCTGGCTCTTTGGTATCCCTCTCAACTGTCAATCAACAGGTGTACAGGTTCCTGAGCTTACTGGGCTCTATCATATCTACACTTGAAACTGTGTATGGAGTCAGCCTCCACCACATCACTTCCTAATGCATTCCATTTATCTACTACTCTAACACTAAAAAAAATTCTTTCTAACGTCTCTATGGCTCATTTGGCCACTCAATTTCCACCTGTGTCTCCTAGAGCGTGTGCCCCTTGTGTTAAATAGTCTGTCTTTATCTATCCTATCAATTCCTTTGAGAATCTTACTGACCCTTCCCAGGATACAACCCATCAACAGGTGTCTCTAACTCCCGGGTTCCTATTTACTGCTAGACGAACAGTCGGATTTGGTGAAAGGAAACGTGCCCAACTAATTCTGTCCCGCCTGGGAAACGAACCCGGGATCTGTGATTGAGAGTCGAGAAGGAAGCCAAATATACTAGGAGAGCCTCGTATTGCACTGCCGCGTGTTGCGTGCTTGTGGACATATATTAACACAGGTATTTTATTTATGTCAGTTTTGTGTTGCACGACTAATCTATCAACATGTGTGTGAACAACTGTTTCGCTGTACAACATACACACACCAGACTGAAATAGAATTACTACAACTACTGTAGACGTATT